CGTTCGCTCCAGTCAGCCGCCACACCTCCGTTCGAATCTTGCTCGCCATCGCAGCTGCAAGGCACCTGCCACTCCGCCAGATCGACGTGAAGAACGCGTTCCTGTACGCGTTAGTAGATGCCGTGATCTACGTGGAGCAGCCGCACACATACGGCGAAGGGGACTCGCGCGTGTGTCAACTGCGCAAGTCGCTCTACGGGATCAAGCAGGCACCGAGGCTGTGGCAGCAGTACTTGCACAACATCCTGCTTGAAATCGGGTTCAAGCAGATGCCGCACGATCCAGGGATGTACCGCCGCGACGTCCGTGGCGAATACATCCTCCACACAGTTTAGGTCGACGACCTGCTCTGAACAGGCTCAAACAACGAGCTACTCGAGCAGTTCGAGAAGGCCCTGGCGGGGCGCGTCGACATCACGTGCAACTACGAGGTGAAGCAGTTCTTAGGCCTCAACATCTCCTACGCGCCTGAGGCCATTCACCTTTCAGCGGCTAAGTACGCAGAGGAGTTAGGGAAGCGGTTCAACATTTCACCTGCACCCCTCTCAACTCCCTACCGAACCCCCGGACCGAACCACAAACCTGACAACAAAGCCCTATCCCCTGCTGAAGTTCAAACTTACCAGCAGCAGCTGGGATGCCTCCTCTTCGCCTCTGTCACCTGCAGGCCAGACCTCTCGTACATCGCAAGTCAGCTTGCGCAGTACTCACGCAAACCAACGGCTGAGAATCTCCTGGACCTGCAGCGCGCCCTACAGTTCTTCGTTTCAACGCCCAAGATTGGGCTGTGCTACTCAACTGCACCAACTCCATCCTTCAATCTCATCGGCTATGTGGACGCCGATCATGCAGCAGACCCCGACAATCGACGGTCCAGGACTGGCTTCCTGTTCCGACTCGAACCAACGGGACCAATCTCCTGGAACTCACAGAAGCAGGAGCTGGTTGCCCTGTCGTCAGCCGAAGCGGAATTCATCGCAGCAGTTCGCGAAGGCCTCTACCTACAGGAACTCCTGCAAGAAGCGAAAATTCCAGCTTCACCCACATTTCGTCTTCACTGCGACAACCAGAGTGCGATTCGCATCGCGAACAAGCCTGGTTTCGTCAACCGCACCAAGCACATTGCGCTGCGGTATTTCTTCGTGAAGGACGAGGTGGACAAGGGCAAGGTCAACTTGACCTATTGCCCGACCGGTGACATGGCAGCGGACTTCCTCACGAAGCGACTGCCACGCCAGCAGTATCAGCACTGCTCCGAACTCAGCGGCGTGGTCAAGCAAGTTAAGTCGAGCTACGGCCAGGAGTGAAGGGGGGTGTTACGAATAGTAATACTTGATTATTACTGTGCACTCCTTTCCGCAGCAAGAGAAGCACACAGTATCGAGAACGAACGCGAAGAGTCAGACGGTTAGGAATTGACTCGAAGCGTCAGACAGTTACGGCACATTGGACCGTCGGAGCAGACGGCATCGGACAGCTGCAGGCAGGATGGTTTTGGCGGGAACAGTTTCGTAACTGTACGCGCCGCACGGTTGAGAATGCGTTTGAATAAGGGAATGTACCCCTTAGAGTACATGGCTAGCTAGGTCGTTTCGTCTTCCCTGTACTCATATTTATATTTGCTGTATTTGCATGTTTTAATCATCTCAAGCATTTTACATTCACTCTGCTATTGAGGTCAAGGGCCCACCAACATTACTTCTCTGCGCGCGAACCTTCCTGAGTAGATCCTGGTGGCGATCAACCTCCGATTCGCAGCAATACCAAGCTAGTAATACAGTATATTCCAGGGCATGGGCGAACAATAGATAGCAAAAACATTAACAGTGGCTCTCAAGAAATAATTAGGTTTTACGGGGGTTTGATGCAGTAACAAGCTTCCAACTCTTGAAATTTGCAAGAAATGTTTGGTGTTGACATAGGAAAAATGGTTGAATCGGCATAAATAAGTAGCTATTTGAATGTCTGGAACCAATATACACAATAACAAGGGGCTAATGACTTTCACTGACTTAACTCTTTGACTAATGACAATGCTTTCTTTGGAAATTCTAACGAGTTCTTGCTATTGTAATATTCAGTGATGAATTTTTCCTTTGTACAACATTTTCAAAAAGAACACTGAAGCTAATTACGTTACGGACGTTCTAATGATAGTAGTGTTAGAAGAAGCTATGGCGCTTGAAATATGTATTGTATAGGCCAGCTTATGAAACACATGAAACATGTGTGTTATTTTCCACTATTCCCTGTCCATCTGGCGTATGAAGTTCCCGCCGCGCACCCCCCTGGCACCCGAACGCCCTCGGCTTTTCCGTGGCGCCTCGTAATTCACCCTTTTCACCAGCACGTCGACATTGCCAAACCCACCGAGCCGCATGTTGACAACACCCTTGCCCAACGGGCGACATTTTTTGGAAAGCACGAGTGCAATCCCCCCTGCGCTCCAGGGCACCCCCCCAGCTCATGCCCAGCAATCAAGTCCCTGCCAGCCAGCAGCAATTGTTCGCCCACGAGACTGGTCTTCGCTCGAGCCGCAGTGGTCCTCATGCCTGCAATGTGCCTTGCAGGCATAGCAATGACCATAACACCTCCAGGTGATTGAGGGGTTGCTCAGCTTTGCTGGACTGGAGGTGAGGAGGGTGATGCAGCATGCTCCTGCCACAACAACATGCTTGGGTTCATCATGCCAACAGGCACCCTCCTTCCCTTGTGCGTAGGGGCGAGTAACCTTCCATTATGTCCAATCTGCTACCACCCCACGGAAGGCCAGCCTAAACAGCTTGGCAATGCAACTTGCCGCTAAAACTAGAACAGGTTTTTAGACGAACGTCTTGACTAGCAGTCATTTTAGAAGGCTTCTTATTATACGCAACTTGTGTCGTTATTGACTTTGTTAGTCGTAAGCATGACGATTCCCGTGAGCCAGACCTTCGATCCATCGGACTACGCGCGGAAGCGCAAAGAACAGATTGCGCGCGCCAAGGAGCTTCGAGAGCTTCGCGCGCCGACGTTAATGGCGTGGAGCATTGACCAGCGAGGCAAGTCGATTAGTCGCGTACTTGGTACAGCCACCGAGTCGCGGATGCAAACATTAGTAGACTGGCTCTGAGTCTGTCTCTGGCGACTCCGAGAGTCCGACTCAGGGTCGGTTCAAGTTGGAACGGGATTTTGGTTCGTGTGTCTGCCGGAATTGCAAGAATTGAATTTAATTACTAACCGTCTCATGAATGGTTATCGGAGTGTTCATGTTTGCCCGCATTTCGCTGTAAAGCCCGCTTGTCCAACACCACTGATTCTTGCTCAAAGCTCATGCGCCACTCGCGACGCCCCCGCAATCAGCCATCATCGCCATCCCCACCTTTCTCGTGGCGGCTACTACTACCTTCGCCCGCTACCCTCCCTCACCCCGTTCGCGTGCAGGTACCGAGCGTCGGCCCTCCAGCTCCTCCGTACATCCCCACCCGTCGCCGCACCGCGACCAACCGCAGCTCTCGACGTCGCACAAGCTAGGTGCGCGATGACTGATAATGCTTCCGCCTTCCACCCAAAGCCCAGCCCACCGCTTGGCCCCTCGTTCCCTCATCGGCAACCTGCATGACCGATATGTGCCCCCTGCGATTGACCCGGACTTACACCATCTTCCCTTTCGTAACTCCCTTTCCGCCCAATTTGTGCTCTCGCCACCCGCTCCCCCGCCCTCTCCCTTTCGCCCACACACTTACCCTCCCTCCCCTTCCGCACCCCTCCCCCCCACTCTACCCCGCTGGTCTTTCCCTCCCCTTCATTCCCTCCACTCCCCAACCCCTTGGCCGTCAGGCAAATCCTCCAGTCTGCGCCGCACCAGATCAGGGGACGGCATCCCCGCCGCCGTCGCCGCCACCGCAAGCAGGACAGCGGACGCGCCCGCCACCGTCATTAGCACCACCACCTCCGGCGCGGGGCCGGGATCCAACGTTGCTAATACTAGTAGGCGTCGCTGGCAACCCATTTTTGACGATTCCGTCGCCGCCGCCGTCGCCGCCTCCTCCGCCGCGGGTGCGGAAGGTATGCCCGCAGAGAATGCGCGTATCGCCACTGAGACGGCCCGCGGAGGCTCTTCCGCGCGCGGGGATAATTGCGCTGACGGCGGAGAGGCAGCAGTTACAGTGGGCGGCGCTGCGAATGCGGATTCCTCGGGGGAAATGCAAAACGGCGTCGCCTCTGTGCAAACTCACTCCTGCGGCGTCGTCGAGACGTCACCAGGGGCAGCTTCTGCTTCAGTAGAATCAGCAGCAGCTTCAGGATCTTCATCAGTCGCTGCCGTTGACGTACCGTCGGACGCGGAGATTCCGGCAGCAAGCAGTAGTGGCAGCGGCAGCAGTAGCGGCAGCAGTAGCGGCAGCAGCATCCGCGGTGGTGGCAACGCCACAGCCGTGGATCGCCTGAGCTCGTTCTCGCGTTCCTTCCGCTCCTCCGTGCAGCAGCTGCTCAAGCGCGCCCTCGTCCTGCCGCAGATTCCGCCGCTGCGCAAACCAGCGCCTGCTGCCGAACCTGACGCCGCCTCCACCGCCACCGCCAACAACAGCAGCAACGCCGTAGCAGAAGCAGCAGCAGCAGAAGCGTCGGAGCCGTCGTTCATAGTCGACTGTGCAACGGATTTGGTGAGGGATAATAACTCTAGTACTTGCAACAGCGACGGCAGCGGCAGCGGCGGGCCGGCATTTGATGAGGGTTTGCGACAGGCGCGCAGTCGTCCCATATTAACAGGTGATGCAGCGGCGGCGGCGGCTGGCGGAGACGAAGTGCCCGACGCGCCTCTACCTCTACTCGACGACGACGGCGCGTTGACCACGACGACGCTGAGGACGACTACGACCACGACGACGATCGGGACGACAACGACGACGCTGCGGACGACGACGACGACGACGGCGATGGGGACGACGACGACGACGATGCGAACGACAACGACGACGATCGCACCGCGTGAGGCGCCGATACTGGCAGAAGATTCGCGTATGACTAGTGCCTCCGCCGTCGCCGCCGCCGTCGCTGCTGGTGGTGGGGCGGGCGGGGGTGCGGCGGACATCGTGGCGGCGGCGGCGGCATTCGTGACGGCAGTGGAACCGGCGGCGGCGCAGGCAGCCGCGGCGCCTCAGATGCCGCTGCCAGCCTCGCTCCGCGAGCGACGGACGTGGAGCGCGACCGGCAACCGATCTTGCGCGCCCGGGGCAGGGGCAGGAGGGGGCGCTGTGGCGGCGGCGGTGGCGGGGTCTGGGGCGGAAAGCCCCGCATCGGGGTCGGATGCGGGTTTGGAGTCAGCGAGGACTCTCCGGAGGACGCGACCGCACTACGCGGCGCACTTGTCGCTGCCCAGCACTCCGGCGCGAGGCGATTCCGATAATGACGACGAGAGTTCCTGCGACGACTATGGTCGCCGTGACTTCCGCCGTGCCTCAGTAGTCGGCTACGCGGGCACGTCGAGAGTGCCGTCGCCGTCGCCGTCGTTAGCGCCGTCACCGTCGTCGATGGTGAGTCGTCGGCGCGATGGATTAAAAATGGTACCACCGCCGCCGCCGCGCTCCCACGCTGGCGGATCCCGAAGTCCGCTCGATTCCCCTTTGACTGCGCCTCCCCAAAGTGATCCGCGCGCCACGCAGGCGGCGTGCGCGCGGAACAACACTGGTGGCGCAAGCAAGCTTGCGCCAAGGGGCGCCCGAATCGGCGCGGACGCGGACTTGGAGATGCAGCTGCAGCAGCACCGCGGGCGGTGGTCTATGGACCGCGCGGAAAGCGAGCATGCGCAGAGCCTGCGCGAGGGGCTGAAGCAGCGGCTCCGCCAAGGGGGACGAGGTGGCGCGGTTGCGGGGGCGGCGGTAGGTACTGGTCGGGGGCGAGGTGGCGCGGGGTTAGGTGGAGGGAGAGGAATGAGGAACGAGGAAGGACGAGGAGATATGGGGAGCGGGCGGAAGCGATTCGGAGGTGCGGCGGGCAGAGAGACAGAGCTAGGAAGAGGCGCGACAGGCGGCACGATAGTGGACGGCGCAACCGACGCCGACCAAATCCGCAATCTACTACGGCCGACCAGCCCACTCGCGGGTACCACTTCTGCCGTGGCGGAGATTAGCGCGGACTCCGCGGACGGAAAGGCCGCCGAGATGCGCAGCGCGGATTCGGGCAGCGACGGGAACGGCGCAACGGGCGCAACGGGCGCAAACAGCGCGAACGACGAAAGCAGCTATCCGTCGAGTCTCGCCTCATGGCCGAACGAGTCGCCATCCGCGGTTACTTCCCCCACGACTTCCGCCGCTTCCGAGACGGGATCCGCCGCGTCGTGGGCTTGGGGAAGCGCGCTTCCCCCTGCGCACCACCCGGTTCGGCCCACGTCCCTCGCGCTGGTCGCGTCAAGAGGACGCGGGAGCTTCCGGGAGAGAATCGGCGCAAGGAGAGGGCCAGAGAGAAGCGCGGGGAGAGGCGCGGGCCTGGTTGGCGGCGGCAGCCGGTGCATCAGCTTCCCCCCAGGCAGTTCAATGGGTGGTCGAAGTCGTTCCGAAACCACCACTACTCCTCGTAGTACTGCAGCCGTCGGCGGCAGCGGCGGCGGCGGCGGCGGAGTCTGCCAAAAGAGCCTACTGGCGGCGCGTACTGTTGCGCAGGCATCCGCCAGGCCTACTGCTGCGCGCGCTGGCGACGCGTCAGGGCGTTGCAGTCGACGAGCCCGCCTCGCGATCACCACTCGCACTACATTTAGTGCTACAGCTACTAAAGCTATTAGCTGTAGCGCGAGCAGTGGTACTGGTGCTGAAATAACGAATGGTTGTGCGACCGCCGGTGGCGGGAAGGAGAGTAGCGGAGGGGATTTTGGCGGGAGCCTTTCACGCGATAGCAGCAGCAGCGGGAGGGAGGGAGGTGCTGGTAGCGGTAGCAGAGGCAAATCGGCAGCGGGCGGGAGGGACGCGGACAAGGCGCGGCCTCAGTGGGGCGCGCGAGCCCCTGGCGCAGCGCTGAAAGCGAATGTGGTTCTGAAGGGGGTTGAGAGGCGGGGAGGAGTGGAGTGCGGTGCTGACGTGCGCGTAGACGGTGTGGTGAGCGCAGGTGCGGGAAAGGGGGGAGGGAATTGTGAGGGCCACGTGGAACGCGTTGCTGACACGGGTGCTGGGGAGGATGAGGGTGGCGTGGTGCGTGGGGCTGGCGGGGCGAGCGCGGCTGGTGGGATTGGTGAGGAGGCAACACCAGGGGTGGTGGCTGCAGCAGAGGAGAAGGGAGGGAATGGTGGCGTGAGGACGGGTGGAAACCAAGGTGAGGAGGGGATGGAGAGTAGGATGGAAGGGGTGCAAGATCTCAGTTGGGAAGGTGGCGTTGCTGCTGCTGATGCTGCTGCTGATGCCATTGCTCATGCTGGTGCTGATGTTGCTGATGTTGCTGATGATGCTGTTGCTCCTGCCATTGATGCTGCTACTGCTTTAGTTGATTCTGGTGCTGCTCGTGTTGCTGAAGAATCCGTTGGGAGTGAGGCTGTTGAACTGGCAGAGGGACGGTCAGAAGAATCAGATGCGCTAGAATGTGGAGGAGGGTACGGAGAGTGTGGGAAAGGGCACACGAGAAAGGAAGTAGGAGGAGAGCTGGAGGAGCAGAACGGGGGGAATGGAGTCGAGGCAGAAGAAGGCGTTGAGGAAGAAGAACGAGCGGAGGTTTGTGTCAGGGAAGGGCCGGCAAGAGGGGAGACGCTTGACCAGGATTTGTCGGTGGACAGGGATAGCGTGGGTGACTGTGGCAAGTTGGAAGAGGTTGTGCTGGAGGCCGTCAAATCACTGGCTGCGGGTGGTGCTCTTGCTGCAAATCGTGCTGATGCTGGGGCTGATGCTGGGGCTGATGCTGGGGTTGACGCTGGGGCTGATGCTGGGGTTGACGCTGGGGCTAATGCCGAAGCTGATGCTGGGGTTGATGCCGGTGGTGATGCCGGTGGTGATGCCGAAGCTGATGCCGAAGCTGGTGCTGTGGCTGGTGCTAGGTCTGATGCTGTCGCAAATGCTGAACCAATTGTCGAGCCAGATGCATGTGTTGATGTCGTGCTTGATGCCGAGGCTGATGCCAAGCCTGATGCTGGGGCTGATGTTGGGGCTGATGCTGATGCCGAGGCTGATGCTGAAGTTGATGCTCGGCCTGCGGCTGATGGCGTGGCTAACGCTGGGTTTGAAGCCGGGGCTGATGCCAGGCCTGACGCGGAGGCTGATGCCAAGCCTGACGCTGAGGCTAATGCCAGGCCTGACGCCGAGGCTGATGTCAGTGCTGATGCTGAGGCTGATGCTGGGGCTGCTGGGGGGGCTGAGCCTTTTGTGGTGGTGAGGGGGGATGAAGAAAAAGAAGCAGGGCCAGAACAAGGAAAATCTAATGGTTGTGGTGGCGTTGGCGGTGGCATCAGCTGTGCCATCAGTAGTGGCAGCAGCAGCGGCAGCAGTGGCAGCAGCGGCAGCAGTGGCTATCTTGGATTAGGAGCTGACGGTACGGACGACAGATGGGAGCTGAGGCACGAAGTGAAGCACGAGGCGAGGCATGAGGTGAGGGCAGGGGTGTGTGAAGCCCTGTCCCTGTGGCCGAACCCACTGCCACTGGTGGACCGCAACTTGGATGCTGCTGCTGCTGCTCTAGCCAAGGTGCGTCCGCTTGCCCTGCGCCTGCGAGCCATGGCCTCTGCTGCTGCTGCCAGCTCCCGAGTCAAGGCGAAAGCAGCTGCCGCTGAAGCTGCTGCTGCAGCAGGAGAGGCAGAGCTGCTGGCCGAGAAGGCTGTTTCGGAGAGAGATGGTGCGACTGAAGTGGGGGATGGCGCGGAGGGTGTTGTGAGATTGGCTTTGGCCGAGGGCGGTGGTGCAATGCATGGGGATAGCAGCATGGGTGCAGGTGCAGCAGGTCCAGCAATGGTAGAGGTGACAGCAGCAGTGGGAGCAGCTGCTTGTGCTGCCATGCCTGCTTGTTCATCCACAGCAGAGGCTAGTGCAACAGCTGCAGGTGCAAGTGCCTCCAACAGCAGCAGCAGCAGCAGCAGCACTACCACCACCACCATTGCTTCAAGCAGCAGCACTGCTGCTGCAACAGCAGCAGTGATGGCATCACAACCACAGCAGTGCCCTTTCGTGGTTGCACCACCCAGCAGCTCTGTACCCCCTCCGTCGCTGCCTGTGAGGATCGCCCGTGCCGCTCCCCTCGTGCCTGCCTCCCCCACCAAGAAGGTTGGGAGCAGTGGCGGGCAAAGGCCTGCTTCTCTCCGACTGCCATCTGAGCCTATTACTGAGCTTCCACATAAAACGATAGAGAAGGCACCACATGGGAATGCGGTTGTGAGAAATGTTGATGTGGATGTGGAAATTGGGAGATCGTCGCAGGGGAGTGGAGCAGGTGGGGCAGCCGGGTGGGATGGTGGGAGTTGCTGCAGTAGTAGAAGCAGCAGTAGTTGCAGCAGTCGAGGTCAGGGCTATGTCAGGTACTCTAGGAGCCCGTCTGGAGGCGCGAGTACTCGTGCTGTTATTTCAAAAGGTGTGCTCATCGGGCTTGCGAGCGGTCTTGGATCGCCCAAGCCCACTTAACTTGGCAGTGTTTGATTCATAGGCTTCATAGAACTTGATTCTTTGTAGGCAGTAGAGAAGTTATTCACTGTAAGCTGTATGGTTACACTGAACCTTTGCTGTAAGCGCAACAAAAGTTTTATTGGAAAATGGTGTTGCAGGAATGGAAGGTGCACCGCATAATGATCAGTGAGAATCTTGTCGTGTACTGCGGGGCGGTCTTGTTCCTTTGGGGGCAGGGAAGCGCAGCGCTGATGCTTCACGAACCCCAGGTTGCGGCTCTACGGGATCTTTTCACGAACGTTTCAGTTTAGGGTGTTCGTGGTTTCATTGTTCCGAGTTTGTTTCATCTCAACCAGTCCACCAACCCCCACCTGAGATGGGTGTGTCCCGCGGCCGTGACCCTCCCCCCACCAGCCCTGCCCCAGCTGAACAGTTTCCGGCTTAGTTCCCGCGCAGGTGCTGCGCTGAGCTCTGCACTCCCCAACCCTCTGGCGCAAGCCCACTGCTGTCCTGCCCCCTCTGGTCTTCCCCGTGCTCCGCCTCGCCCCAAGAAACAGTTTCACCTCCGCCAGCCACCATCCAAGTGACCTGGACTAGTTTTTCTTTGTGGCGGAAAAACTATCGTCCAGCCCGCAATCCCCCCTTCTCTCCGCATATGACACCTTCCCCCAACTCACTCGTCCCCTCCCCCCCATTTGTTCCAGCGGCCCCCCTTCCCCCCGCCCGCACGCACTTCGATTCGACCCAGCAGAGTAGCGCGCAACAGCCGAAAAGACTCTTCATTGCTCTCATCCCGCACGTTGCGCTCATGCTTGTCTTTCTCGTACTCCGTTTTGTTTGTCTACGGTCGGTAACCGCTTATAAGGAGCTAGGGTACTGCATGCGGTATTAACTCCTCGTACTAACGTACTTAGGGTCAGATTTTAAGATAGTTTGCAGTGAGTTAGCTTCTGCTGCTATACTGCGCGTCGGGTTTCATAGGCGCTGGAGAATAGACAAAAGTGGTACTGGCTGGTTAGGAAGCTCGCTGTCGTCTTCCACCATTCTTCGCCGCTTTCAGCTCCTCTGTCGTCTCTCATCGGTCGTCGCTCGTCTTAGCGCGCGGCTCTTGCAGAACGCTCAAACGCTACTCGCTCCTTCGGCCGCCATGGCTCCACACAATCGCCATGCGTCCCCACACCAACGCTTGCCCTCCGCTCTCCGCCTAGTCCTCACGCTGACGCTGCTCCTTGTAGCCTCCCCCCTCGCGCCCGCCGAGACCGACATGTCCGCCGCTACCTACAACGTGCCGTACTCGCAATGCCAGCGCAACCCCGCGCTGCGCAAATCGAAAGTCGGAGTGAGTTCTTAGATTCTTCGGCTGCGCGTATCCCTCCGTCCTCCGTGCAACAAATTGCGATTTGCTGCAGGTGTACGAAGTTCACCTTGGCGCCAAGTCCCTTTCTTTCGTCTGTCATTCTTCGTTGTAGCTGTCACTCTTTCCTTTGTTCCGTAAGCCTCCTCCTTAGCAGTATCCCTCGTATCCCTCGTTTTCGAGCTCCCTCTGCGACTATTTTCAAGCCGCCTCAAACTCCACATCAGTCCAACCCAAAGTGTGCCCAAGTCGCGTCAGCGCCATTCCCTTCCTGCATCGCCTCGCCGCTTTCTCGTCCGTTCAACTTTCCGTCCGTCCCGTTCATCGTATTGTTGACCTGTTGTGAGGAATCTAACCATTCGCCCTTTCTCGTCCGTCCAATTGTTCCTCCTCTCTCCTTCCGACCCATCCACTCGTCCATCCGGCTAACCTCGACCATCCCCGTCATGCGCCCGCCCAGCCGGGCGCGAGTGGATGCGCGTGCGCGCGCGTCCATCTCCGCGCGCTCGTCCATGCGTGCGCGCGCGCGTCCGTACATGTGCATGCGTGCGCGCTTGTGTGAATCGCAGGCGGAGTGGACTTGGAATTGGCGCGCTGTGCTACCCCCTCACAGCTCGTTCTCTCCCGCCCATCCCCCATCCTCCCCCCTCCACCACCAACCAGGCGGGGGTGGATTCGGCGTTGGCGCTGTGTCTCAAGTCCACCTCGTCGCTCGACCCACCTCTGCTCACCTCCTTCCTCCCCGCTCGTTCTCTTCCCCCCTTTCCCCCTACCCCCTTGTCGGTCCCCCGCGGCAGGCGGGGGTGGATTCTGTGTTGGCGCTGTGTCTCAAGTCCACCACGTCGCTCGAGACCAACTTCGAGAATGCCAACAAGCTCTTCATCGGCAACATGTCCAACGTCGCATGTCAGTCGCGCGCTCGCCGTCGCTCTCCTCCCACGTTGTCTCCTCCCGCGCGCTCTCCTCCCAAGTGCTCTCCTCCCGCGCGCTCTCCTCCCAAGTGCTCTCCTCCCGCGCGCTCTCCTATCGCGCGCTCTCCTCCCACGCGCGCTCTCCTCCCACGCGCGCTCTCCTCCCGCTTGCTCTCCTCCAGCCCGCTCTCCTCCCGCGCGCTCTCCTTCCGCGCGCTCTCCTCCCGCGCGCTCTCCTTCCGCGCGCTCTCCTCCCGCGCGCTCCCCTCCGCGCGCTCTTAAATCCACCCAATTTCTTCCCTCCACCCTTCCACCGTCCTTCCTGCACACCCACGATTAAACTCTTGGTTCCTTGTGCCGCTCCCTCAAACTCTCCCTCCCTCCCTCCCCCCTCCCCTCTCTCCTCCCCCTCTCCCTCTCCCTCCGCAGCCTTCGGCGCGTTCTGCGTGGAGATCAAGGAAACCCTCCTAGTGAGCGACGACGGGCTGAGCATCTACCCGGCGCCGCTGCCGTCCTTCTTCATCCGCCAGGGCTGGACGCTGCCCCTCTGGGGCCCCGCGCCCGACCCCGCGCTCGTGAACGAGACGGTGCAGATGACGCTCACCAACAACGGCGTCACCGACCTCAGCGTCACCGGGCTTGACTTCACGCAGTTCGGCCTGCCCGCGGATTTCTCTGTTGGACCCGGCCTCTCTGCGAACCTGACTGTGAGCCGTCCGGGTTCTGGCTAGTCGCCTCTTGCTCTCTTGTTATCTTCGTAGGCCTTGCGCCGCCTCCTCTTCCTCCTCCTCCTCCTCCTCCTCCTCCTCTTCCTCCGCCTCTATCTCCTCCTCCTCCTCCCCCCCCCCCTCCTCCTCCTCCTCCTCCTCCTCCTCCTCCTCCTCCTCCTCCTCCTCCTCCTCCTCCTCCTCCTCCTCCTCCTCCTCCTCCTCCTCCTCCTCCTCCTCCTGCTCCTCCTCCTCCTCCTCCTCCTCCTCCTCCTCCTCCTCCTCCTCCTCCTCCTCCTCCTCCTCCTCCTCCTCCTCCTCCTCCTCCTCCTCCTCCTCCTCCTCCTCCTCCTCCTCCTCCTCCTCCTCCTCCTCCTCCTCCTCCTCCTCCTCCTCCTCCTCCTCCTCCTCCTCCTCCTCCTCCTCCTCCTCCTCCTCCTCCGCCCCCTCTCTCCTCCTCCTCCCCCTGCACTTGCTTCCTCTCTCACTCACCCATCAGTTTCTTTCTTTCGATCGGCTATCCCCTGCGTTCCTTTTTTCAACGAGCCGTGCTCCAATGTCTCTGCAATCCCTCCGTGTGACAACATGCTATGTCATGCGATGCCATAGCCTAAGGCACGCGAATGCCCTTGCGTGAGCTGTGATCAAACCACCTTCCAGCCGCGCCCTTCAACATGATCTTGCTTACACAGACCAACTCCCCGAACCTGGCCTGCAAACATCCCATCCCATGCATCAATATTGTTTGAATACCTCTCCATCTTACCCGCTTCCCCCTTCCCCCTTCCCCCTCCCCCCCCCCCACACTTGCCCGTCCCATCCTCACCCCAATCCCCCTCCCAACACCCACGCTACAACCCTTCCCATCCCTCCGCAGTTCAACCGCACGCAGGTGAGCCTGGACTTTGAAACGCTCCCGCTCCTGCAGACGTACCTGTCGGGAACAAACCCGCCAGACCTGCAGGCAGACGAGGTGATCTCCGTGGTCATCGTCAAGCTCTACCCAGACGACCCCGACGGTCTCCTCGGCCGCGCCGCGTACGTGTTCCTCAAGCCCACCAACGACCAGATCAACCCGTACGAGTTCTACCTGTTTGAGGCCAACTACTACCTGCCGCCGCCCACCTCGTCCGGGCGGCGGCGGCTGCTCGCGGCGATCCCCAAGACCACGTCGCCGCCGTCGGGGAGCCAGAAGGGGTGCTGCGCGAAAGCCAAGATCCCGCCCACGTGCAAACCGGGCGCGCCCACGTGGCCCTCGTGTCGGAGCCCTCCCTGCAAGACGCCCTGCTAGGCGCTGCTGTCACACACGCGGGGGCTTCTGGAGTGGGTGATGGGCCTGGAAAGAGGGGGGGAGAGGGAAGGGGGGATGTAGGGGGGCAGCTGGTAACAGTATACGGATTGTCGGATGAGGGTGAGGTGGGGCAGGCAGGGAGGGGGGCACATTGTGGAATGGTTGTCAGCTGCGTTGCTGGTGTATATGGGTGGGGTAATATGGAGAGATGGTGGGTTGAAGGGGTGCGGTAAAGTGTTTGTCGTTGGGTCCTTGTGTTCATTGAAGGTTGTGAGTCTGTGCACGGGGTTGTGCTTGTGTTGTGACGCAACACAAATGTGGGGTAGGATGGTGTGGGATGGTGAGTGCAATGGTTTGTTATGAAGTGGTGGGGTGGCGATGCTTGCGTGAGTTGCTGATGGCATTGTCGTAAAATACGTACCCATTAAACTCCCTGGTTTGTCAAATTCCCAGTTCTTCGCTTGATACGTACATCATGTTGACTAGTATGAATTAACTCATTGTTTTATTTTGTGTAAACTGATCTTTCAATTCGGTGCCTTCAAATGATTTCACGTGGTCACTGTACTCTGGTTTGGTAGGGGGGAATGGCTGAGGGTATTGGTTGATATAGCGCACCGATATTTCCACGGTGTCACGCGACTGTCGTTTATTGTTACCAAAGCCCGTCAAGCACGTGCCCCATCGCAGTGCCATGTCAAAGTTGCCGGTGGGTGCGTCAGAGAGGCCGTCTGTAACTTTCAAGAAACGGCTTTGTCGGGGCGGGAAAACAGAACCGTCGGTGAAGAGATTTTCGAATGGATTCTCGGGAACGGGCAGGCGATGCATAACCACTTGTAAAAGTGGTGGAAAGTGGTGTGAGGAAAGTTAGAGCTTTGCATGTAGATCTGTAATCTACTCCAGCCTCCTGCATGGCAAGGCTGGGAGGCGCAAGCACGATTCCTCCGCTGCAGTAAACATTCTCAACATCTGAACCGCAGCTCGTCCGTTGATGCTGTCAGTTGTGCTTGTCTTGACGTCGTCATTTTTCCGTTCTCTCGACTTAGTTCGACCGCGATTTTCACGAATCTTTTGCCGCTGAGGTTAATCTCTCAGATCCATCGTCTTATCTCAATAAGTCCCACTGATTGTCTGGATGGAGGAAACAACGGCCGCCGCAGAAACAGCTCCCGCCGCTTCCGATCAACCCACAGAGGCGGCGCCTCCGTTAGGAGCGCCGCAGCGCGCGGGGCAACGGACGATTCTCATGGCGCTGGACTGCTCCGACAGCAGCTGGGCCGCGCTGCGGTGGGCCCTCGAGAACGTCGTGCGGCCGCCCCACGACCGCCTCGTGCTCATGTCCGCCGTGGCGCCCGTGGTTTCGTACACCGGCATGACCGGCCGGCCAGGTCAGCCGAGACGCGTCTTCTTTCGCCGCGGTGGTTGTTGCTGCTGCTGTCGCTGTCGTTGTTATAGTGGTGGTGGCTGCTGTTATGGTGGTGTCGTTGTCGTCTTGGCGTCCTTTTTCTCCCAGATCGCGCGCGCGCGTGTGTGTGTGGCTGTGTGTGATGCGTCGTTATTTCCCAAGGCTACCACGTCCTTCGTAACGCGCTTCTTTCTTGCGTGGCCGGGCGCCGTGTTCTCTCTCCCTCGCGCGTGGGTGCAGGCATGCATCTGAGCGACTCGTTCGTGAAGGACGAGAGTCACCGCCGCCGGTCGTCCGCGCTGGCCCTGCTCAACCGAGCTCGCGCCGCCTGTGCTGAACACCAGGTCACCATCCCCGCACTGTCCCCCTCCCTGCCCCCCCCCCCCTGCCCCAATCCCTGCCCCCTCCTCCCTGGCCCCTCCCTGCCCCAATCCCTGCCCCCTCCTCCCTGGCCCCTCCTGCCCCCATCTCCCTGCCCTCATCTCCCTGCCCCCATCTCCCTGCCCCCATCTCCCTGCCCCCATCTCCCTGCCCCCATCTCCCTGCCCCCATCTCCCTGCCCCCGTCTCCCTGTCCCCATCCCCCTGCCCCCCTCTCTGCCCTCCTCCCTCCCCCCTTCCCTCCTCCCTTCCCCCGTTCCTGCCCCCCTCCCTCCCCCGCTCCCTTCCTGCCTCCCTCCCTCCCTGCCTCCCTGCCTCCCTCACTTCCTGCCTCCCTCCCTGCCCTCCCTTGCTCCCCCCCTGCCTCCTGCCTCTCTCTCTCTCTTCCTGCCTCTCTCTCTCTCTTCCTGCCTCTCTCCCTGCCCCCTTCCCTGCCTCCCTGCATCCCTGCCTCCCTGCCTTTCCGACCTTACTCCATTAGCCTCTCTCCCACCCTACTTCCCTCTATCTCTTTGTTTCTTCCTGCCTGCCTTGTCAATCTCCTCCCCATGGCCGCGTGCTTCGTCCATGCTCCCCTTCCCACCCGTTCCATTCCCGAGTCTTAGCTCGTCGCCTCCCTCCTCCTTCCATCCCCTTAGTGTCCCCAATGCTCTTCTTGTATCGCTCTTCTGCAGTCGCATCGTACTCGTACATGTATGCGCGAATGTATGTGTCTGTGTAGATACATCAATGGGTATATTCAGGAAAGCCAGGGCCAAAATTGCAAGACCGGATCTGACGTGTCAGGGCACGGGCATCGCATGGGCATGGGCATGGGCACGGGCACGGGCACGGGCATCGCATGGGCATGGCTTGGGCATGGAGTGGCGTGGCATGGTCACGGCATGGCATGGAATGACTATGCATGTAATGGGCGGGGTGTTGCATGGGCATGGGCATGGGCATGGGCATGGGCATCAGGTGGCAGCGGAGGTTCGGGTGCACACGGGGGATGCGCGCACAGCCGTGGTGGAGCTGGCCTCTGAAGTCACCGCTGACCTCGTCATCGTCGGCAGCCGCGGCCACGGCCCCCTGCAGAGGTGCCCCGGGGTCGGGGGGAGAGAGGGGCCGGGAGGGCAGGGGGGAAGGGGGGCAGGGGGACGAGGGGCTGAGGGGTAGGGGGAAAGTGGTGCAGGTGGCAAGGGGGAAGAGAGGCAGGGGGGAAACCGGGAAGGGAGAGGGTAGAGAAGGAAGAGTGAGCGCTGAAGGAATGCCCAGATTTGGGGAACTCATGTACTTTTCTTCTTTCTGTCCTCCTTGCCACGCAATTTGTTAAGCCACTTCCCGCTCCCCTCTGTCTCGTAAACTGACTCCTCTACTTACTGCCCCTCTGTGCCTCCCTGTCACATCATTCCCTTGAAATCCAATGGCAACGCCTTTGGTCCCTGCCTTGTCTTGCTCCGTCCAGGCTGCTGCTGGGGAGTGTGTCAGAGTACTGTGTGCACCACTGCACCATGCCCGTCCTAGTCTACCGCCCTGCCACTGCTGCTGCCAAGATGGCTGCGGCGGCTTCTACGGCTGCAGGAGTTGAGGAAAAGAGAGAACCAGAATCTACGGCTGCTGCTGCGGCTGGTGATGCTGCTGAGGATGCTGGGGGGGAGGCTGTGGGGGAGGCGGGGGGGCCTCCCTCAGAGCCCACCACGGAGCAACCTGATAAAAAGACCAATTAGAGTAGCGTGGTGTGGTTACAGAAAGTTCTTAAACATGTTTAGTGTAACATAACCAGGGCGTGCTCGATTTTGCTGCGCTCAGTGTTTTGTTAGTAGTGCCATGTAATAGAGTTCTAGAAGGGAGTGAAGGTACAAAATTTCTTTCTCCTCTTATGTAAAATGAGACCCAATGCTGACGCCTCGACCCTGTGAACTAAATCTCGCCCTAAATGCTTATTGGATGTTGTTAATGGCTATTATTGGATGTGCAAGTATCATACGGTATTGCACTTCGGGCCATATTTGTACACCGCCTACTCTACTGGAATTTGGTGGTTCGAAAACTCAAACGGGACAGTGCAACGATTGCCACGGGGTTTGACCTGTTTTGTGGACCCGACCCGAGTTCATGGCTGCTTGAAAGCTCGTTAGGTTGGGTGGGATCCTACGTTACGAGGGCTCGGCACACGCATATTCTTCGCGACGAGGCGTTATGCCCTGTCGTTTTCAATTTTGAAAATACCTAACCAGCGCAATTAGTCCTTTGTCAGATTGCACTAACTACTACTGCTCAAGCGGCAAGCACGGCTCCTTAGATCGCCGTGAATCGTATCACTTCGACTCATATTCTTCTGCGTTTCTCACTAGTCCTTTCCTTGACTCGCTATATTCACTCCTGCGCATGGACTCGGCACAAGAACATGCCACCGAGCCAGATTCGCAACCCAAGAAGCGAAAATTCTCCCCCATCCGCTGGGATCCAGACGGCCAATCAGCAGCTGCCACGCGGCCTATTTCCGTCATAAGGCACCGCAGGGACCCGATTCGTCCCGCCTCCGCATCCTCTTCCCCCGCTCCGTCTCCGCCCCCGTCCTCCACCTCCTCTGCGCATCGATCCCCTGTACCTCCGCCTGCTGCCGACCGGGCGGAAGCGCAACGCTCGACGCTCGGGGGCTCTCCGGCGCGCAGTGCGCACCTGCGCGTGTCTGCGCAAGATAGGCCATCTCCGCTCAGTGGCGGCAGGCGCGCGGAAGAGGAGGAAAAGGGCGCGCGCGCAATTGCGGGTGAAGCCGCGGGAGGCGCGGAAGGTAGTCAGGCGGCGGAGAGGGAAGCGGCGGGGAATGGAGGGGGTGATGGCAGGGTCTGCGCAAGCGGTTTAGGGGGAAGAGTGCGCAAGCTGGTGCGGGAAAGGCGGGAGGAGCGCTCCACAACCCTGGAGATTGTAGCGCGCGGGGAAACGGGGGGAGAGGCTGGGGAAGCGGAGAGACAGGGAAAAACGGGGTATACGAGTGGGAAGGACGCGGGAGAGGGGAAGAGAGAGGAACGAGGGGAGGAGGGAGGGCGGGAAGGGAGGGTTGGGGGGGAGAGCGAGATAAGAAGCAGGCGAAGATGGGGGAGGAAGACGGAGGATAAGGGGAAAGTGGGGGAAGAGGTGGCGCGGGAGGAGGGGGCGCGGAAAAATGGGGAAGGGGAGAAAAGGTGGGAAGCAGGGAAGGAGGGCACAGGGAGTATTGAGGAAAAGGAAGGGGGTTCGAGTAGGAAAGAAGTAAAGGCGGAGAGGAGAACAAGGGAGGGTATCGAAGGGGGGGATGGGGAGGAAGGGGTGGATGAGAGGGAGGAGAGCAAAGGGCGGAAGAGAGTGAAAAGGGGAGATAGTGAGAACAGGAGGAGTGATAACGACGCGGAAAAGGGTGCAGCGGAGAAGGAAAGGAAGCGTGGGGCGGAGAGTAGGAAGGGCGAAAAGGTTACTGGCAGTGGTGACAGCAACAGAGGTGACAGCAACACTGATTCTGCTGATAACGCTGAAGGGGCTACTAATCCCAACGGTGATGACAATGGGGTTAAGAAGGAGGAGGAGGAGAAGGAGAAGGAAGAGAAGGATGAGGGGAGAGAGGAAAAGGTGAAGGGAGAGGAGGATGAGGATGATGATGATGAGGAGGAGGGTGGGTTTGTGGAGTTTGACGAGCAGGAGAGGAGAATTCCCAAGTCGTTGCGAGGGATTAACCAGCAGGGATCCATGATGGGGCTGCTGGGTAACAGATGGGCGGGGGGGAATGATGGTGATGATGCTGGTGGTGATGCTGCTGGTGGTGGTGGTGAGATGTTAGGAGAGAGAAATGGTAGGAAGGGGGAACCTAAGGTGGGTAAGAAGGGGAAGAGCAAGGCGAGAGGGAGGGGCGGAGGACAGCATGAGAGGCGTGAGAGGCGGAGGCGAAAGCGGGGGAGGAGTAGCAGCAGTAGCAGTGCCAGCAGCAGTGCCAGCAGCAGTGCCAGCAGCAGCAGCAGCAGCAGCGGCAGCAGCAGCGGCAGCAGCAGCGGCAACAGTAGTAGTAGCAGTGGCAGAGGCGACAGGCGTGGCAAGGACGGTAAGAAGGGCGTTGGGAGACATGGCGTGAAGAGACATGGCGCAGCGAGGCACGGGACAGATAGGCAAGGAGGAGGGAAACACAAGGGAAAGAAGCAGGAGGAACGGGAGGAGCAAGAGGCAGGGAAGCAGGAGGCAGGGAAGCAGGAGGCAGGGAAGCAGGAGGCAGGGAAGCAGGAGGCAGGGAAGCAGGAGGCAGGGAAGCAGGAGGCAGGGAAGCAGGAGGCAGGGAAGCAGGAGGCAGGGAAGCAGGAGACAGGGAAGCAGGAGACAGGGAAGCAGGAGACAGGGAAGCAGGAGACAGGGAAGCAGGAGGCAGGGAAGCAGGAGGCAGGGAAGCAGGAGACAGGGAAGCAGGAGACAGGGAAGCAGGAGACAGGGAAGCAGGAGACAGGGAAGCAGGAGACAGGGAAGCAGGAGACAGGGAAGCAGGAGACAGGGAAGCAGGAGACAGGGAAGCAGGAGACAGGGAAGCAGGAGACAGGGAAGCAGGAGACAGGGAAGCAGGAGACAGGGAAGCAGGAGACAGGGAAGCAGGAGACAGGGAAGCAGGAGACAGGGAAGCAGGAGACAGGGAAGCAGGAGAGAGGGAAGCAGGAGGCAGGGAAGCAGGAGACAGGGAAGCAGGAGACAGGGAAGCAGGAGACAGGGAAGCAGGAGAGAGGGAAGCAGGAGACAGGGAAGCAGGAGACAGGGAAGCAGGAGAGAGGGAAGCAGGAGGCAGGGAAGCAGGAGAGAGGGAAGCAGGAGGCAGGGAAGCAGGAGGCAGGGAAGCAGGAGACAGGGAAGCAGGAGGCAGGGAAGCAGGAGGCAGGGAAGCAGGAGGCAGGGAAGCAGGAGGCAGGGAAGCAGGAGGCAGGGAAGCAGGAGGCAGGGAAGCAGGAGGCAGGGAAGCAGGAGACAGGGAAGCAGGAGGCAGGGAAGCAGGAGGCAGGGAAGCAGGAGGCAGGGAAGCAGGAGGCAGGGAAGCAGGAGGCAGGGAAGCAGGAGGCAGGGAAGCAGGAGGCAGGGAAGCAGGAGGCAGGGAAGCAGGAGGCAGGGAAGCAGGAGGCAGGGAAGCAGGAGGCAGGGAAGCAGGAGGCAGGGAAGCAGGAGGCAGGGAAGCAGGAGGCAGGGAAGCAGGAGGCAGGGAAGCAGGAGGCAGGGAAGCAGGAGGCAGGGAAGCAGGAGGCAGGGAAGCAGGAGGCAGGGAAGCAGGAGGCAGGGAAGCAGGAGGCAGGGAAGCAGGAGGCAGGGAAGCAGGAGGCAGGGAAGCAGGAGGCAGGGAAGCAGGAGGCAGGGAAGCAGGAGGCAGGGAAGCAGGAGGCAGGGAAGCAGGAGGCAGGGAAGCAGGAGGCAGGGAAGCAGGAGGCAGGGAAGCAGGAGGCAGGGAAGCAGGAGGCAGGGAAGCAGGAGGCAGGGAGGCAGGGGGGGGCTGAGAGTGACTATGAGCGGGAGCTGAACCGACGCGAGCTAGAGGAGCTGGCGAACGGCGTGGGGGATGGCGGGGGCAGCGGGGACGAGCAGGGCAGCATGGCCATGCGGGACAGTGACGAGGAGGAGGAGGATGAGGATGGGGATGGGGATGGGGGGTATTACGGGGAGAGGAGGGCGGGGAGGGAGGAGAGGGATGGTGGGTACGGGGGCAGGCGAGGCGAGGGACGGTGGTGGAGCCGTGAGAGTGATGAGAGTGAGGATAGCGACGGTGGTAAGGGAGGGGGTAGCCCAAGGGGAGGCGGGAGAGCAGGCAGAACACGAGGGGGCGGGCGGGACGGGAGGGAGGGGAGGGACGAGCGGGACGAGAGAGGTGAGCAAGACGCAAGGGATAGGTCCGTGGCAGTGGCAGTGGCAGCAGCGAGGGCGGCAGCAGCAGCAGCCAAGGGCGGGGAGGCCGCAGGCGTGGCAGGGTTCGTGTCTCTGCTCCGCAGCAGCGGGGGGTGCCGCAGCGTAGACGAATTCGAGCGCCTCAACCGCATCGACGAGGGCACCTACGGCGTGGTGTACCGCGCGCGTGACAAGAAAACCGGGCGGGTAGTGGCCCTGAAGAAAGTGAAAATGGAGCGCGAGAAGGAGGGTTTCCCGCTGACGTCGCTCCGGGAGATCAACATCCTGCTGTCGCTGCAGCACGAGGCGGTGGTGGGCGTGCGCGAGGTGGTGGTGGGGAGCAGTGTGGATAGTATCTTCATGGTGATGGAGTATATGGACCATGATGTGAAGAGCCTCATGGAGAGCATGAAGCAGGCGTTCAGTCCGAGTGAAGTGAAGTGCCTCATGCTGCAGCTGCTCAGTGGGGTGGCCTACATGCACGACAACTGGGTGCTCCACAGGTGGGTGTGGTGGCTGAGGGTGCTGGAGGGGGGGTGGGGCTTTGTGGGGTTGGTGGCTTTAAGGTGTCTCAAAACTCGTCTGCAGCTGCTCGGTGGGGTGGCCTACATGCACGACAACCGGGTGCTCCACAGGTGAGCATTGAGGCACTGCTGCTCTGCTCAGTGGTGCACGAACACTCGTCTGCAACTGCACAGTGGGTTTAGATACTTGCACGACAACTGGGTGCTGCACGGGTGGGTGTGGGTGCATACTTGAGCAATTGAGTGAGAGAGTGAGTGAGCAAGTGGGTGAGTGAGCGAATGAGTGAGTGAGAGTGAGTGAGCGCATGAGCGATTGAGTGACTGAGCGAGTGAGTGAGTGAGCAAGTGAGTCAGTGAGCGAGTGAGTGAGCGAGCGAGTGAGTGAGCGAGTGAGTGCGTGAGCAAGTGTGCGTGCAAGCAACGACCATGCAGGAGCTCAGCCAGTCGCATGTCTCATTCCCCTCTCTCCCTTCAAGCTCGCTCGTCTTCACCTACCTCACCGCACCGCACCGCACCACCTTTCCTTG